CATAAACAGTTTGCTTGGCTCATGCTTCATATTTTCCTAAATTCTTTCAAACAGACAGCATCTGGGCTCAGCATCCCCCTGCCTATTGCTAAGGGGCCTGAGGCCCAACACTAGCAGCAAAGCAGCTGGTCTTATTTAACTGCTTGGACTCACTTGGGCAACTCCAAACCCAGCACAGGTAGCAGCCAACTGCAGATTGTTTTGTAGCTTACTTGGGTGTCCCTGGACAGAACACTTGGCCTTAAACTCCCAGAGACCCCAGAGGCTGTGTGCACAGTGAACAACTACAGACCACATCAGAGCACCACCACCCAACCATCTCCAGAAGCAACATACTCAGGGGGTGGACTAAATGGGCACCAGAGCCCTGCTAAATCCTGCTATGTGGAGTGGGCTCCTGCAAGCTGATCCTCCATGGTGGGTGGAGGTTGGTGGCCAGTGGTCACTGCTGTCCTTGCAGCTGATTGGCCTTGGTAAATCCCTCCCATTGACCTGCCAACAGCAATTAAGGCTCTGCTGCAGGAGGGGTTCTACACAGCCCACATGATGGGTGCAACTCAAGTGCCCAGTTTGGGTAATAGGGGAAGCTGTGCCACAGGACCCTATGGGACACTTACTGCATTAGGCCACTCTCCTGAGCCAGGAAGTTGTAGCAGCTCTACCTAATGCATATGAACGAACACAGAGAAGCTGCCAAAATGAGGAGACAAAGAAACATGGCCCAAATGAAAGAACAAATCGAAACTCCAGAAAAAGAATGAAGCAAAATGGAGAGAAGCAATCTATCAGATACAGAGTTCAAAACATTGTTTTTAACGATGCTTAAGGAACTTAGTGAGGACCTCAACAGCATAAAAAATGGCATGGAAATCTAAAAAAAAAGGTCAAAAATTAAGGATGCCCTAACTGAAATGAAGAACAATGTACAAGGAATCAACAGTAGAGGGGATGCAGCCGAGAATCAAATCAGTGATTTAGATTACAAGGAAGCAAAAAACATTCAACCAGAACAAAAAGAATAAATTTTTTTTTAAATGAGGATAGTGCAAGGAGCCTCTGAGACAACTTCAGGCATACCAATATTCGCATCGTAGGGGTGCTAGAAGGAAAAGAGAGAGAGCAAGAAATGGAAAACCTACTTGAAAAAATGACAAAATTTCCCTATCCTAGTGAAGGAAGTAGCCATGTAAGTCCAGGAAGCACAGAGCATCCCATACAAGCTGAGCCCAAAGAGGCCTATACCAAGATACATCATATTTAAAATGCCAAAGAGAAACAACAAAGAGAGAGTCTTAAAAGCAGCAAGAGAAAAGCAGTTAGTTACCTACAAGGGAGTTCCCATAAGACTGTCAGCTAGTTTCTCAAAAGAAACTTTGCAGGCTAGAAGGGACTGGCAAGAAATGTTCAAAGTGGTGACTAGCAAGGACCTATAGCCAAGATTACTCTACCCAGCAAAGCCATAATTTAGAATGGAAGGACAGATGAAGAGCTCCCCAGATAAGAAAAAGCTAAAGAAGTTTATTACTATCAAACCTATATTATATAAAATATTAAAGGATCTTCTTTAAAAAGAAGATGAAAAGTATGAACAATAAAATAGTAATAAATATCTATCAATAATTGAATCTAAAAAACAAATGCACAAGCAGAACAAAAACAGAATCATAGATACAGAGAGCATTTTCATGGTTGCCAGATGGGTGAGGGATTGAGGAGACAGACAAAAAAGGTGCAGGGATTAAGAAATATATATTGGTAGTTACAAAATAGTCAGGGGGATCAAAGTACAGCATAGGAAATAAAGTAGTCAAAGAGCATTATATGCATGACCCATGGACATGAACAATGGTATGGGGATTGCCTGAGGGAGTAGACAGGGGTCTGGGTGGAGAGGGAAAAGGGGGAAAAATTGGGACAACTGTAATAGTATTAACAATAAAATATCATTTAAATTAAAAAAAAAAACAAACTAACCAATCAACTTCAAAATTAAATAAACAAAAATTGTCTAATTCTCGAGTTCCTCCATCAATACTTATACCATCAAATGAATACATCAATGCTTATTCATGTATTCATTTGATGGTATGGTCCTGATCTGCTCCTGGAATTTTGCTGGGCATTAGGGGGCCCAGTGGGTAGGTGCAGGGTCTCTGAGGGCTGCACAGAGGTGACTGTGGGCCAGGGGGAGGACATGTAACTCAGGGAACACAGCGAAGGGTTCTTGGTCAATCTCTCTTCTAGAAGGGTCATCAGACTTTAGGAAATGAAGCCATAGTTGAATAAGGTAATAAAGGCATGGCATGAAAAAGGAATATTCTGTTCCACCCATGTATGTATCAGTCAGTTGCTCATCTTCTCATCATTTATCAGATACAAAGGGAAAAAGATAAGTGAGAATATGAAAAGCCACAAATAGTTAGGATTTGATTTTGAGTGTTCACTATATACTAGGCCATATACAAAGCCCTTTACATCCAAGCACAGAGGTTGAGAAGGTTGGAGTCAAACAGAAGGGAATCTGGCCCCAGCTCTACTACTTCCTAATTGTGTGATCTTGAAATTCATGTAATGTCTCCAGATCTCAGTTTTTCTCATCTGTAAAATGAAAATAGTCATAATACCAACCTCTCAGCCCAAAACCAGGTTGTCTGTATGAAATCGCATTGCACAGTGTGGGTATGAAGCAACTGCTTAGTCAATGCTGCATCATTTTTATTCCAACTTTTGTTTTTTTCATTAACTGCCCTTCCAGAGGGAGCTGTGGTTTAGAAATGTGCCCAGGTCATTGCTCATGAGTGGTGGAGCCAGTTCTGCCTGGTTGCCTTGCACGTTAGGGGCTGGTGTCAGAAATGAGTCTGGAGGGGAAGCTGAGACCAGATCTCAAAGAGCCTTGTGGTTCAAAGTGCTCAGGATGTTGAGTTTTATCAACAAGAGAATGGAGCACCTCTGTAGGACCTTAAGGTCAAGATTGACAAATTAGATTTGCCTTTTAGAAAGGTTGTTCTGGCAGCAGTATACAAGATGGCTTAGAGATGGGAATGACCATAGCTGAGAGCCCTGTTGCAGTGTGATCCAGAAAAAATGGTGAGGGCTACAGGTAGGTAGTAGCAATGGGGCAGACAGGACATTCGGGCAAAGGGAAGGGAGGTTGGTGGAAGGAGAGGGGGAGGAGGGAGTGGAAGGGTTTGGCTGCTCCTGGGTTGCTGGCTTTATTAACTGGGTAGATGGTGGCAGCTTGGGCCAAGATGTAATAAATGAAAATTAGGATGCCACCTAATTCCAGTCATGTAATGGTGGTTGGTGAACTCCAAGGTGGCTGACACATTCAATACTCTTTCCTGAAGAACTATAGAAATGTTCATTTTAAAAAAACTTTATAGTTAAGCAAGATAGTTTTCGAAATCTCGTAACGGAAACATTTCACCATAGGAAGAAATGGTGTTCTCAGAATAGAAGAAAAAAAGACAATTACACAAGACTGGGAGAAAGTTTAAGACTAGTTTAGCTTTTAAGAGGGAAGTAATCAAGTAAGAGGAAGAGGTAAAATGAGTAGATACTCAGAGATGGGGGAGAAGGCAAATCAGAAATTCTGCATTGAATTGAGGAGGCAGGTAGGTGAGAATAGGAAGACATTGCATTGCTCTCTCTGCGTAAATGTGTCCACTTCAGGACGTAATGCACAACCATTTGAGCAGCAGATGCTCAGGGGGTGCCTGTGTGGCAGGTGGGAGGCTACAGCATGGAGCAGGGTGGAGGGGGCAGGACCGAGTCTGGTGAGGACCCATGAACATGCTGTTAGAGTGTGGAATGTGCTAAGAAGGAAGGGGTGGGGCTATAAGAAAATACAGGGTCAGAAGGTACTAACTTAGACTGAGGGGTCACCAGCCAGCAGTTCCTGGCCTCTTCCCAGATGACCAGTTAAGTGAAGCGAAATCAGGAGTGGTATTTAGAAAGTTTGAGACTCACTGGTTTACATACTAAGTTAGCAAAACAGCTTTGGCAACCAGAGCAGATAGATACATGCCTAGAGGAGACAGACTAAATTCCAGGAGGCCAATGGAGAAAGAGTTGCAGGCTTGTCAGGGGAGGTGGCTGGCATGCTGTGTTTTGTCAGTATTATTCCAGGGGAAGCTACCAGATGTCAAAATGCTTGTTTTTCCCCAAGTAGCCACTTCCAGAGCAGTAAAAAATGGGATAGAGCAGAGAAGGTGGGAGACAAGGCTTGCGTTAAACGTGCCAGCTCTTCACAAAGCCCTGTGCTCAGAGTGTGTCTGGAAACCCCGACCATGGTGCAGTCATTCACCTGTTCTTTATCAGACAGGAAGCTGCTGGGAATGAAACACAGGGTAGCCCAGAGAAGACAGAAGGAAGAAACCAAGGCCACCCTGTAAAATGAGAATGCTCTCTGCTGCTTGCCTTTGGGGGGGGGTCTTCATTTCCCCGGAAGCATTAGAAAGGACCACCGAGTCCTTGGCAAGAAACAATGGTGGAAACATAAGGGAATCATGACCATGGAGATAGGAAGATGTGAGAAGGAGGAGAAGTCCCTGGTCTCAGTCAACAATACTCTTTCAGTTGCCTTTTGCTCAAGTCCCATTGATTTTAGTGGTTTTCCCTGGCAGATGGGTGGGTGGATTGAAATGTGGGTTTCTGAGAGAACACAGAGGGTAAAAAAGGCCAAGCAGTCCCAGATCTGGGATGGCAGAGCAATGCACACCCAGCCAGCTTCCCGGGTGACTCTTCCATAGATACCACCTTCAGTATAGCAGGTGGTAAGGGAGCAATTCTCAAACCAGCCCAGCCATCTGCACGTCCCTGGGCCCAACTCCAGGATGACTGAGTCAACTTTGGACATGAGGAGGACAGAGACCATGTGATTGACTCCTGGAGCCCTGCCAGGTTGGGGAGCCACCAGGCCAGTGGAATATTCTTTGAAGTATGCCTCTATTGGAAAATCCGGAGTGCCTAATTATTTTTCTCCTTTCTTTTTTTACTAGGCCCTGGGAAATCATGAATTTGATAATGGTGCAGAAGGTCTGATTGATCCACTCCTCAAACAGGCCAAATTTCCAATTCTGAGTGCAAACATTAAAGCGAAGGAGCCGCTAGCATCTCAAATAGCGAATCTTTATTTGCCATATAAAAACCTTTCTGTTGGTGGTGAAATTGTGGGAATTGTTGGATACACCTCGAAAGAAACTCCTATTCTCTCAAATCCAGGTATTTTCTACTTTTATGGCACACAGTGCCTGAAAATAGATGCCCCGCATCAGGGCTTGGCACTGCTTTTACGGGCTGCTGGGAAAAGTAGGAACAATGGGTGCTTCGGGCAAGTGGTGCCCTTAGGATGACACCGATAAAGCCAGGCTGCTGACTTCTTAATCATTCTAAAGTACTTCTTAAAGACATTTGCCCTTCTGCTCAGCGAGCTTCTTTGTCAACACTATCTTTGTTTAATTCAGTGTGTTCAAAATTCGAGAAGTCCATTTAAATCCAGGGCTAAATGAACAGGGACATTTACTGGAGAACGAGAGCCAGGTAACTCATGCCCTCCCTCCTGTGCAGTCCGGGCGCCCAGGTTCCACCTCGATTCACCTCACCTTTCCTGTTTTAGTATGACTATTACATGTCTAGCTACCTCACCTTTCTTCCTTTGTACTATTCATCTCTTGCAGTTTTTTTTATTTTAATTGTTGTTCAAGTACAGTTTTCTGCCCTTTACTCACCCCTCCAGCCCTCCCCACCTCCCTCCTGTTTCCAACCCCACCCCTTGTTTTTGTCCATGTGTCCTTTATACTTGTTCCTGCAAACCCTTCTCCCCTTCCCCTGAAATTCCCTCCCCTATCCCTTCTCATCTCTGTCGCCTGTTCTGTATTTCAGTGTCCTTGGTTATGTTTTGCTTGTTTGTTTTGTTCATTAGCTTCCTGTTAAAGGTGAGATCATATGGTATCATCTCTTGTAGTTTTAATGACTTTGTGTATCTGGCTTTCTGGGAAATACATATATATTCTTGAATGGTCTGACATATATGATACATATCTGCTATATCTATATATCCACTTATACACTTTTGTATATATTTCCAAAACCATTCAGGAAATATTTCTGAGCCACTTTTACAGGAAGGAACGCATTCACCAAAACACTATCAGTGAGGACAGAAAATGATGTTTTTTTCTAAATTAAACAAATTAATTTTCTTTCCATACTTCAAGAAAAAAGAGAAACTAAAAGCTAGCAGAAATAAGGATTTTTATTAAGAATTACACTGATACTCACACCTGTCAGAATGGCTGTCATCAATAAATCAACAAACACCAAGTGCTGGCGGGGACATAAAGAGACGGAACCCTGGTGCACTGCTGGCGGGAGTGCAGACTGGCGCAGCTTCTGCGGAAGGCAGTGTGGGGCTACCTCAAAAAAATTACAAGTGCATCTGCTTCATGACCCAGAAGTTCCACTTCTGGGAAGATATTTGAAGAAGCTAGAAACACTAATTCAAAAGAATATGTGCACCCCGATGTTCATTGTACCATTATTTATAACAGCCAAGATTTGGAAGCAGCCCAAGTGTCCAGCAGTAGATGAGTGGATAAAAAATTATGTGTTACATTTACACAGTGGAATACTACACAGCTGTAAAAGAAAGAAGAAAATCTTACCTTTTGTGACAGTTTGGATGAACCTCGAGAATATTCCCGAGTGGAATAAGCCAGTCAGAGAAAGACAAATGCCGTACAATCTCACTCATATGTAGAATCTAATAAACAATATAAGCAAACACATAAAATAGAGTCAGACTCATAGATACAGAAAACAGACTGACAGCTGTCGGGCAGAGAGGTTTGGGGCTGGGTGTAAAAGGGGAAGGGGTTAAGAAAAGAAACCTCATAAAGGGAGGTAGGAGAGGGTAGAGTAGGGATAAATGCTGATGAAAGGAGACTTGACGTGGGGTGGTGAACACAATGTAATACACAGATGATGTATCATAGAATTGTACAATTGAACTCTATATAACTATATTAACCAATATCACCCAACTGATAAATTCAGTAAAAGTAAAATTTAAAAAGTTAACTGATAATGAAGATATAATATTTAACAATTAGAAAAGTATTTGTTGTATTTGTTAAAATAAGTCCAAGCCACTGGAAACAACAAGAAGGTCAACGGATGTTGACCCTGAGCAGCATGGCTGTCCCTGAGGGGAGAGTCCTGCAGCCGGCGCTGGGCAGGGCAAGCCTGGGCCAGGCTGCTCTCCGCTGAGGGGAGCTGGGGACTGCCAGGTGCTCTGGGCAGCAGGCAGACAGCTGGCCCACCGGTGACCACGCCTTTGCACACCGAGTGACATATAGTTAGTAGTTGTCGTTGAGGTCATTGTGGAGCCAGAAGGTGGCACACAAGTCACCGCCTTCTGAAACATGTTAGAAGTGCTCTTCTGACCAAGAAGGGTGTGGTCCCCCCACAAGGACCTGACTGCTCCTGTCATACAAAAGGTGTCTCACAGACGTGCTGGTCTTTGAAGAGATGAATTCTTTTTTGAACTCAAGCTGTCAGGCTCCTGGACTTTTAGAGTTCTTTACAAGATATTATATGTGCTTGGCAATTTCATTTTAGTGATGATTCTTAGAAATGTTACACGAAGGAGTCTAGATCACCTGGAGGACTCTCGTCACTGAGTACTGGACATGACTTCAAGGCAGTGTGTCTGTCTGTGTTTACTGTCATCTCTGTGTGAGTGAAAGCTGTAAGACCTCAAGGCTTGCTGAGATTTAGCTACAGAGAGAAATCGGTGGTCTGGCCACACTTAGTAGCACAGGCTTGCTGTCCTCAGAGAGCCCTGGCTGTGCAGCCAGCCCCACACTCCCCCACTGGCACCAACGAGCCGTGCCGTTACCTCTGGGTGGGCGTAAGCAGCCAGTGAAGAACACGCAGTCCCACTGCAGCAATGTTGGGAAGGGACCCATGTCTCATCTGCAGCTTAATACTCTAATGCCACCCTCATCAAGTGAACAAAACAGAGTCGTCAGCAGGCGTGTTAAGACTGGCATTCAGGTACTAGTTGCTGACAGAATTTTAAGACTGATTATCCTACACTTGCAAATAAAGCCTTAAAATTATTAATCTGTTTTGTACTTTATGCTTATGTGTGCAAGCATTTTCCGCATTGGTATAATGAAAGTCTAAATACAAAAACAGGCCCCCGCTGATGTAGTTCAGTGGACTGAGTGCTGGCCTACAAACCAAAGGGTCACCAGATTGATTCCCAGTCAGGGCACATGCCTGGGTTGTGGGCCAGGTCCCCAGTGCGGGGCTCAGGAGAGGCAAGCACACATTGATGTTTCTCTCCCTCCCTTCCCCTCTGTCTAAAAGTAAATAAGTAAAATCTTTAAAACATATATATAGATTTAAAAAAATAGAATGGAAAAAATAGGCTTGCCAGTCTGAAGCCTCCTCACAGCTTGAGCTTGAATTTGAGTAACCTCCTATGAGCCACAAGCTTAAACTGATGCAAGGTCAAGTGAGCGTAACTAAGAATCAACAACATTTTGCGGTTGCCTTTGTAGCGATTCTATATTTAACTTAAAAATACATGTTGCTTTAGTAATTTAAGGGTTGAAACAGATTGAGGTGTTTTTACTTGGCATGTTAGTGTGTTCAGTAAGCAGTATAATAAAAATTACGGTTAATAAATGCCCATGTTATTTGTTTCGTTCCTTGTAGGACCGAATTTAGTATTTGAAGATGAAATCACTGCATTGCAACATCAAGTGGATAAGCTAACCACTCTGAAGGTGAACAAAATTATTGCCCTGGGGCACTCTGGCTTCGAAATGGACAAGCTCATCGCTCAGAAGGTGAAGGGCGTGGACGTCGTGGTGGGAGGGCACTCCAACACGTTCCTCTACACAGGTAATGCTTTCCGAACGGCTGCACCGGCCGGGCGTCTACATCACTTAGTCGCTTTGCAATGGTTACTAGCATTTTTACTACTATTTAACACATTACATAAATTACATAATATGTAATACATTATATACATGTAGTACTCGTTGAAAGATAACGTGTAAATCTTACGCAGAGACGTTACTAAGAATAATTTATTGCTTTCATGATTATGTCAATTCCATTTATGTATATTATAAATATATATATATATATAACATGTGTATTAAAAATATATAACAAAAAATTATTGAACCTCAACCAAAAGTTAGTTTATAGCAAAAGGCAACAGGTCATATAAAAAATTTTAAGCATGCCTTGGCTGGGTGACTCAGTTGGTTGGAGAGTCATCCTGGACACCAAAATGTTGTGGGTTCGATCTTCATCAGGAAACACACCTAAGTTGCAGGTTTGATCCCCTGCTGGGGCGTGTACATGAGGCAACTGACTGATGTTTCTCTCTCACACTGATGTTTCTTCTTTTCCCGCCTCCCTCCCTCACTCTCCAGAGTCAACCAGTGTATCCTCAGGTGTGGATTAAAACACTTTTAAAGCATAAACAAAACACTATAAATAAGGCCTTCACAGCTCAAAGTGACAAGACTTATTTGTAGGGTCACAGGTAACAGAAGCCGCAGCCCAGGACAGTGAGTGCACTCGCCCTCCCTCCCGTCCTCCCTCCCCCTTTTGGCCCCTTCCGCTTTCCTTCCCCCTCCGTCACCTTCTCTTTCCTCTTCTCCCCCTTTCTCTTACTCCCTCTCCCTCTGTTACTGAACAGCAGCTGAGGTCCTGCAGCCCATTGCCAGCTTCTAGGCAAAATTCTAGAGGCAGAAGTTTGGGATAAAGTAAAGGAGTCTTTATTCAAAAGTTGCACAATTTTAAATAACAGCTTTCCACTCATTAGTCACTTAATCCTATCAATTAAGGCTAAACTCTAAATCTTCAGTTACAGCTTTGATCACTTAAGCCTATCAATTAAGGCTAAATTCTTTAACACCTGGGTTCTCCTACTATTCACCCTGTTAGTTTTTAATGATCTTATTTCTATAGGGTTAGTTTACAATCTAAAACAACATAAAGTACAAAAGCTACACAATTTTAGAAGAATTGGTTTCTGCCTCAGAGGTCATTCCCTCTAGAACATCCAAAGAAGAATAACCCTGCCACCCTCTGCCAGGCCAGCCTGATGCTAAGTTGTGCCCGGGGTCCCTTCCCCATCCAAAATGCCGTCCTTTGGAAATGCAGGCAGCTGCAGCACACTCACCCGGGCATCCCTGAGGAAGAGAGAGCCGGAGAGCCGCAGAGCCAGCCATCTTTATTTCCACGGACTCTGGAGGCAATTAGGTCTCAGCCAATCCTGTCGTCCTAGGCTGTTAACCATTGCCTCTTCCTGCTAAACTCTTCCAGCGGCTCCTCCCTTCCTCTCCCCAGGGATCTGATGAGACCTCTCTGTCATCACCCCTCTCCCTCAGTCTTCTCTCTATGTCCCTCCCTGTCAGTGTAAGAAACAGCCAAAGCTGTAGAGAATTTTTGTAAGATTTTATTGGAGCCAAGCTGAGGACATGTGCCAGGGAGCAAGATTCCAAATGCTCCTGAGAAAAAGAACTTTGCAGTTTCTTTTATGCATTTGAAATTAAGAAGAGGAAGCAAGGGAGATGGAGAAAGCAAGAAGGAGGGGTCTGGATTGCAGGACAGTTAAAAACACTGTGTGCCTTCTTGAGGGTTAATACCTTATTCGAGGGGCATTTTAAGGGTGTAGTGACCTGGATGCAGGGGAACAATGGTCAGAGGTGCCTGTGGTGTGACTGCCCGTGAGCCGGCCAGTTAGGAATTTATGATCAGCTCTCTCCCTGTGAGGTTATTTTCCACAGAACCCTTTTTTTCATTCACACCTTCCTCTCTCTTCACCTTCTTGTTCTGTCTCTCCCAGTTTCCCTACCCCCTCTTTTCTTCCCTTCCCCTCTCTCCTTGGTGTTACTTAGTTTTAGTGAGAAATTTGAAAAAAATTTTTGAACTGTAATGTCCCACAATTTTTGAGTCTGGCCCCGAGTCTTTACCATCACCCCCATTGCATGGAGCTTTGAAGTGTTTTCAAGAAAAGGAAAAAGAGGAAGGCCCGACTGGTTAGAGACTTTATCAGCAGTGAGAAGGAAGGCGTTGGTGGCGAGCAACGCACCCCTTTCAGAGGTTTATTCTTACCACATCTCTGTATGGGCTATCTAAGGTGATAAAAGCAACAATAGGAAATAGCCTCCAAATAGTAGATAACACCCAAAAATGTTTTAAACGATTATCACTAAGAAAGATTGTGTGGTAGAAACAGACTTTCTCCTCAAGGTTCTTTCTAGTGGTCTAATAATCAAATAGACATTAAATAGATAAAAATGAGAAAATAACCAAATTTAATATATATTCAAGTATGGGAGCCCCACATGCATGAGAGGGTCAGAGACAAAAAGGGAACAGGGGATATGGGACATTCTGAACTGGGGATGATAAGGTCGGGTGCCTTGGGGTCTCCCAAGTGTCACTGCAGAATGGTAAGAAGGGGAGATGTTCAGTCAACACAAGTTTTCCCCACCATCTAGATGAGTCAAAAAGGTTATCACTGCTAATCTCCGGTGATGGGCAGATTATGCAGTGCAGCTAAGGGAGGTGAGCAGGCCAGCACCACCCCCCATGGAAGACTGCCTTGGCCAGTTTTATATTTTTAATTTAATTTTATTTGATTTGATTTTTGCATTTTAAAGCATTTTTTAATTTAATTATTGTTCAAGTACAGTTTTCTGTCTTTTACTCCCATCCCAGCCCACCCCCCCAGTGCTCCCCACCTCCCTCCCATTTCCACCCCCCTTGGTTGTTGTCCATGTGTCCTTTATACTTGTTCCTGTAAACCCTTCCCCTTTTCCCCTGAAATTCCCTCCCCTCTCCCCTCTAGTCCCTGTCAGCCTGTTCAGTATTTCAGTGTCTTTGGTTATATTTTCTTGCTTGTTTGTTTTGTTGTTTAGCTTCCTGTTAAAGGTGAGATCGTATGGTATTTGCCTTTCAACGCCTGGCTTATTTCACTCAGCATAATGCTTTCCAGTTCCATCCATGCTGTTGCAAAGGGTAGTAGCTCCTTCTTTCTTTTTGCTGCATAGAATTCCATTGGGTAAATGTACTATAGTTTTTGGATCCACTCATTTACTGATGGGCAGCTAGGTTGCTTCCAACTCTTGGCTATGGTAAATTGTGCTGCTATGAACATTGGGGTTCATAGGTTCTTTTGGATTGGTGTTTCATGGTTCTTAGGATATAATCCTAGCAGTGGAATTACTGGGTCAGAAGGCATATTCATTTTTAGTTTTCTTAGAAAATTCCATACTGTTTTCCATAATGGTTGTAACAGTCTGCAATCCCACCAACAGTGAACTAGGGACCCCTTTTCCCCACAACCTCTCCAACATTTGTTGTTCGTTGCTTTGTTTATGATGGCCATTCTGACCAGTGTAAAATGGTATCTCATTGTGGTTTTAATTTGCATCTCTCTGATAGCTAGTGATATTGAGCATCTTTTCATGTGTCTCTGGATCCTCTGTATGTCCTCCTTGGAGAAGTGTCTGTTCAAATCCTTTGCCCATTTTCTAATTGGGTTGCTTGTCTTCTTAGAGTGGGGTTGTGTGAGTTCTTTGTATATTTTGGAAGAATTAACATCATCAAAATGTCCATACTACCCAAAGCAATTTACAGATTCGATGCAATACCTATTAAAGTACCAATGGCATATTTCACATACATAGAACAAACACTTCAAAAATTTATATGAAACTATAAACAACCCCGAATAGCAGCTGCAATTTTGAGAAAGAAGAACAAAGTAGGAGGGATCACAATACCTGATACCTAACTGTATTACCAGGCCACTGTAATCAAAACATTCTGGTACTGGCCTTGGTCTGTTTTTATGAGCCACACTGGCCCTGTCCTGCTGGGCTCAGTTTTGCAGTGGGGAGGACAACTCGGCTCAGAGCTGAGACATTCAAAGTGCATCTGCCTCAGAGGCTCTAGTCCAGGGCTCAAGCAGGTGTGCCAACAGAGTTAAGGAGAGGAGGGCAGCTTGACCCCTCCCATGGCCCAGCCAATGTCACCCACAAAGGAAGACTTTCTTGATCTTTTTGCCCAAGTTCTGGTGACACTGCCCTGTCTTGCTGAGCTTGGTCCTATAGAGGCGATAGCTGGCTGCACTCAACCTGAACCTGTGGTACGCTCCTCCTGGGGGAGCTAGAGTTGGAGACTCTAACACACACTGAATGGTATGGCTCAGGAGTAGGGGCCACATTCTCCCCATTGAGTGCCTGACCAGGCTGCCCCCAGTACAGGCTGCCCCACTAGCCCAATTCTCCTGACCTGGTCACTTTGCCCTATCAAGCTTGAGCCCTGTGGAAGGGTCAGTGGGGTGTAGCCAGCTTGGGCCCACTCTACAGCCTTTCCTCATAAGACTCTAGAGGAAGTCAAGGCAACTGCAGGGTGCAGGTAGAATTCTCCTCTTAGTGGCCAAGAGGTAAATGCTGACCTCAGGGAGTCTTGGACTTACCTGCCCCCAGCTCAGAGCTCTGGGAAGCTGATCTTGGTACACAGTCTGGCCCCTCCTACACACACCCAGGGCCAGTAAATGCAAACATAGTGAACAGCATGGTAGCTATGGACAGGTAGCCCAAGGCCGGCTACAAACAACATCTGACAGAGACCTTAATCTGAACCCCACCCAAGCGGACCCAGAAGCAACACAACCAGTGGTGGGCTTCAGTCCATACCAGAGCTGGACCTAACCAGCCACACAAGTGTCACACCCAAAGGGGCATTCCAACAGGCACCAGACCCTGCTGGGAACAACTCTGCCTTGGGGGGCAGTCTCTGCACAGTGTCTTATACACGGTGACCTAGGTTTTACTCCTACAGCTACCCAGACTGAAGGGTCAACTCCACCT